GACGTCTGATATAACATGAGTTGTCCATGTCGGTGATGGTGACGTCTGATATAACATGAGTTGTGCATGTCGGTGATGGTGACGTCTGATATAACATGAGTTGTCCATGTCGGTGATGATGACGTCTGATATAACATGAGTTGTGCATGTCGGTGATGATGACGTCTGATATAACGTGAGTTGTCCATGTCGATGATGGTGACGTCTGATATAACATGAGTTGTGCATGTCGGTGATGGGGACGTCTGATATAACATGAGTTGTGCATGTCGGTGATGATGATGTCTGATATAACGTTAGTTGTGAATGTCGATGATGGTGATGTCTGATATAACATGAGTTGTGCATGTCGGTGATGGTGACGTCTGATATAACATGAGTTGTGCATGTCGGTGATGATGATGTCTGATATAACATGAGTTGTGAATGTCGGTGATGGTGATGTCTGATATAACTTGAGTTGTGCATGTCGGTGATGGTGACGTCTGATATAACATGAGTTGTGCATGTCGGTGATGGTGACGTCTGATATAACATGAGTTGTCCATGTCGATGATAATGACGTCTGATATAACATGAGTTATGCATGTCGGTGATGATGACGTCTGATATAACGTGAGTTGTGCATGTCGATGATGGTGACGTCTGATATAACATGAGTTGTGCATGTCGGTGATGGGGATGTCTGATATAACGTGAGTTGTGAATGTCGGTGATGGTGACGTCTGATATAACATGAGTTGTCCATGTCGATGATAATGACGTCTGATATAACATGAGTTATGCATGTCGGTGATGATGACGTCTGATATAACGTGAGTTGTGCATGTCGATGATGGTGACGTCTGATATAACATGAGTTGTGAATGTCGGTGATGGGGACGTCTGATATAACGTGAGTAGTGCATGTCGATGATGGGGACGTCTGATATAACATGAGTTGTGAATGTCGGTGATGGGGACGTCTGATATAACGTGAGTTGTGAATGTCGGTGATGGGGACGTCTGATATAACATGAGTTGTGCATGTCGGTGACGGTGACGTCTGATATAACGTGAGTTGTGAATGTCGGTGATGGGGACGTCTGATATAACGTTAGTTGTGAATGTCGGTGATGGGGACGTCTGATATAACATGAGTAGTGCATGTCGGTGATGGTGACGTCTGATATAACGTGAGTAGTGCATGTCGGTGATGGGGACGTCTGATATAACATGAGTTGTGCATGTCGGTGATGGTGACGTCTGATATAACGTTAGTTGTGAATGTCGGTGATGGTGACGTCTGATATAACGTGAGTAGTGCATGTCGATGATGGTGACGTCTGATATAACATGAGTTGTGCATGTCGGTGATGGGGACGTCTGATATAACGTTAGTTGTGAATGTCGGTGATGGTGACGTCTGATATAACGTTTGTTGTGAATGTCGGTGATGGGGACGTCTGATATAACATGAGTTGTGAATGTCGGTGATGGTGACATCTGATATAACGTGAGTTGTGAATGTCGGTATTGATGATGTCTGATATAACATGAGTTGTGCATGTCGGTGATGATGACGTCTGATATAACGTGAGTTGTGCATGTCGGTGATGGTGACATCTGATATAACATGAGTTGTGAATGTCGGTGATGGTGACATCTGATATAACGTGAGTTGTGAATGTCGGTGATGGTGACGTCTGATATAACATGAGTAGTGCATGTCGGTGATGGTGACGTCTGATATAACGTGAGTAGTGCATGTCGGTGATGGGGACGTCTGATATAACATGAGTTGTGCATGTCGGTGATGGTGACGTCTGATATAACGTTAGTTGTGAATGTCGGTGATGGGGACGTCTGATATAACGTGAGTAGTGCATGTCGATGATGGGGACGTCTGATATAACATGAGTTGTGAATGTCGGTGATGGTGACGTCTGATATAACGTGAGTTGTGAATGTCGGTGATGGGGACGTCTGATATAACATGAGTTGTGCATGTCGGTGACGGTGACGTCTGATATAACGTGAGTTGTGAATGTCGGTGATGGGACGTCTGATATAACATGAGTTGTGCATGTCGGTGATGGTGACGTCTGATATAACATGAGTTGTGCATGTCGATGATGATGACGTCTGATATAACATGAGTTGTGCATGTCGGTGATGGTGACGTCTGATATAACATGAGTTGTGAATGTCGGTGATGGTGACGTCTGATATAACATGAGTTGTGCATGTCGGTGATGGTGACGTCTGATATAACATGAGTTATGCATGTCGGTGATGATGACGTCTGATATAACATGAGTAGTGCATGTCGGTGATGGGGACGTCTGATATAACGTGAGTTGTGAATGTCGGTGATGGTGATGTCTGATATAACATGAGTTGTGCATGTCGGTGATGATAACGTCTGATATAACATGAGTTGTGAATGTCGGTGTTGGTGACGTCTGATATAACATGAGTTGTGCATGTCGGTGATGGTGACGTCTGATATAACATGAGTTGTGCATGTCGGTGATGATGACGTCTGATATAACATGAGTTGTGAATGTCGGTGATGATGACGTCTGATATAACATGAGTTGTGCATGTCGGTGATGGTGACGTCTGATATAACGTGAGTTGTGTTATGTCGGTGATGGTGACGTCTGATATAACATGAGTTGTGCATGTCGGTGATGATGACGTCTGATATAACGTGAGTTGTGAATGTCGGTGATGGTGATGTCTGATATAACTTGAGTTGTGCATGTCGGTGATAGTGTCTGATATAACATGAGTTGTCATGTCGGTGATGGTGACGTCTGATATAACATGAGTTGTGCATGTCGATGATGATGACGTCTGATATAACATGAGTTGTGCATGTCGGTGATGATGACGTCTGATATAACGTGAGTTGTGCATGTCGATGATGGTGACGTCTGATATAACATGAGTTGTGCATGTCGGTGATGGGGATGTCGGTGATGGTGACGTCTGATATAACATGAGTAGTGCATGTCGGTGATGGTGACGTCTGATATAACGTGAGTAGTGCATGTCGGTGATGGGGACGTCTGATATAACATGAGTTGTCCATGTCGGTGATGGTGACGTCTGATATAACGTTAGTTGTGAATGTCGGTGATGGTGACGTCTGATATAACGTGAGTAGTGCATGTCGATGATGGGGACGTCTGATATAACATGAGTTGTGCATGTCAGTTATGGGGACGTCTGATATAACATGAGATGTGAATGTCGGTGATGGGGACGTCTGATATAACATGAGTAGTGCATGTCGATGATGGGGACGTCTGATATAACATGAGTTGTGTCGGTGATGGGGACGTCTGATATAACATGAGTTGTGCATGTCGGTGATGGGGACGTCTGATATAACGTGAGTTGTGAATGTCGGTGATGGTGACGTCTGATATAACATGAGTAGTGCATGTCGGTGATGGTGACGTCTGATATAACGTGAGTAGTGCATGTCGGTGATGGGGACGTCTGATATAACGTGAGTTGTGCATGTCGGTGATGGCGACGTCTGATATAACGTTAGTTGTGAATGTCGGTGATGGGGACGTCTGATATAACGTGAGTAGTGCATGTCGATGATGGGGACGTCTGATATAACATGAGTTGTGAATGTCGGTGATGGGGACGTCTGATATAACGTGAGTTGTGAATGTCAGTGATGGGGACGTCTGATATAACATGAGTTGTGCATGTCGGTGACGGTGACGTCTGATATAACGTGAGTTGTGAATGTCGGTGATGGGGACGTCTGATATAACGTTAGTTGTGAATGTCGGTGATGGGGACGTCTGATATAACATGAGTAGTGCATGTCGGTGATGGTGACGTCTGATATAACGTGAGTAGTGCATGTCGGTGATGGTGACATCTGATATAACGTGAGTAGTGCATGTCGGTATTGATGATGTCTGATATAACATGAGTTGTGCATGTCGGTGATGGTGACATCTGATATAACGTGAGTTGTGCATGTCGGTATTGATGATGTCTGATATAACATGAGTTGTGCATGTCGGTGATGGTGATGTCTGATATAACGTGAGTTGTGCATGTCGGTGATGGGGACGTCTGATATAACATGAGTTGTGCATGTCGGTGATGGGGACGTCTGATATAACATGAGTTGTGAATGTCGGTGATGGGGACGTCTGATATTACGTGAGTAGTGCATGTCGATGATGGGGACGTCTGATATAACATGAGTTGTGCATGTCGGTGATGGGGACGTCTGATATAACGTGAGTTGTGAATGTCGGTGATGGTGACGTCTGATATAACGTGAGTTGTGCATGTCGGTGATGGTGACGTCTGATATAACATGAGTTGTGAATGTCGGTGATGGTGACGTCTGATATAACATGAGTTGTGCATGTCGGTGATGGTGACATCTGATATAACATGAGTTGTGCATGTCGGTATTGATGATGTCTGATATAACATGAGTTGTGAATGTCGGTGATGGTGACGTCTGATATAACGTGAGTTGTGCATGTCGATGATGGTGATGTCTGATATAACATGAGTTGTGCATGTCGATGATGGTGACGTCTGATATAACGTTAGTTGTGAATGTCGGTGATGGTGATGTCTGATATAACGTGAGTTGTGCATGTCGGTGATGGTGATGTCTGATATAACATGAGTTGTGCATGTCGGTATTGATGATGTCTGGTATAACATGAGTTGTGCATGTCGGTGATGGTGACGTCTGATATAACGTGAGTTGTGAATGTCGATGATGGTGACGTCTGATGATGTGAGTGGTGCATGTCGATGATGGTGACGTCTGATGATGTGAGTGGTGCATGTCGATGATGTCTGATAAGGTGAGTTGTGCATGTCGATGATGGTGACGTCTGATGAGGTGAGTGGTGCATGTCGATAATGGTGAAGTCAGATGATTTGAGTTGTGCATGGCGATGATGTCTGATAAGGTGAGTGGTGTGTGTCGGTGATGGTGACGTCTGATGGTGTGCGTTGTTTATGTCGGTGATGGTGATGTCGGATTCCCACCTCCGTTTAAGGAGAGTTCTGCTGAGCGTGGTCTCCAACTCCGCCGTCTTCTGCAGTATCAGGGCCTTCACAATACTCTCCTCCCTCGTCAGCATCCCTACACGGAACGCTGTCTTCTGCCACAGCTCGATCTCACGCCGCAGTTCTACACAGAGGAAACAAACACGTTATTAATAAAGGTTATTTTTTCATAATTCACGTTTTAAATAAATGAATGTCTACTTTGACGAAACAGGCGGACACGCGTCTGGAACTGAAAACCAGTGGACTGATTCGACAGACAAAGAGCCACTTGCAGACATTGTGACGTTGGTTAAGTACTAATAAAGATTGAGAAAAAGGTAACAATTAAACTCAATGTAGTAAAGGTTTAAGACGTTCAATTTATTTTAAGATTTTAGATTAATAATTTCAAATAATGTTTTACACAACACAAATGTGTTTACTGAATATTTTACACGTGAGCTGGCGAGTGATACCTATGACATCGGGCGGTTCCTGGTTTTTGAGGTTCTCGATATTGCGGTAGTAGACGCGGAGAAAACCGTAGCCAAAGACGGAGACGAAAATGATGCCAAACGCGGCGTGCATCGTGAAAACAGAGAACGTGATACCCTGAAACACGGAGAGACAGGTAAACCAGCGTCCATACAACACTGCACACAGGTGTCTGGGGCTACACTGAAACACGGAGAGACAGGTAAACTAGCGTCCATACAATACTACACACAGGTGTCTGGGACTACACTGAAACACGGGGAGACAGGTAAACTAGCGTCTATACACTACTACACACAGGTGTCTGGGGCTACACTGAAACACGGAGAGACAGGTAAACTAGCGTCTATACAATGCTACACACAGGTGTCTGGGGCCACGCTGAAACACGGAGACAGGTAAACCAGCGTCTATACAATGCTACACACAGGTGTCTGGGGCTACACTGAAACACGGAGACAGGTAAACTAGCGTCTATACAATGCTACACACAGGTGTCTGGGGCCACGCTGAAACACGGGAGACAGGTAAACTAGCGTCTATACAATACTACACACAGGTGTCTGGGGCCACGCTGGAACACGGAGACAGGTAAACTAGCGTCTATACAATACTACACACAGGTGTCTGGGGCTACACTGAAACACGGAGACAGGTAAACCAGCGTCTATACAATGCTACACACAGGTGTCTGGGGCCACGCTGAAACACGGAGACAGGTAAACCAGCGTCTATACAATGCTACACACAGGTGTCTGGGGCCACGCTGAAACACGGAGACAGGTAAACCAGCGTCTATACAATGCTACACACAGGTGTCTGGGGCTACACTGAAACACGGAGAAGAAGGCACATTCGTGTCTACAAAAAATTTCACACCTGTAAAACAAATAGACAAATAAAAATCACAGCAAAGGCACAGGTGTCAGTCATGGTGTAGTGCCTGTGATCTGTTTTGGCGATATATACCTGCTCCAGTTAGCTGGCTCGTTACCCATGAAAATGGGGTTAGAATTGGCCTTCAGTAACCCATACCTGTCGTAAGAGGCGACTAACGGGATCGGGTGGTCAGGCTCGCCGACTTGTTTTATCATATCATGTCATCGCATCCCAGTTGCGTAGAATGATGCTCATGCTGTTGATCACTGGATTGTCTGGTCCAGACTCGATTATTTACAGACCGCCGCCATACAACTGGAATATTGCTGAGTGCGGCGTTAAACAACAAACCAACCAACCTGACTCGCTGTAGCACCCACGATGATGACGTTAGGAGGGTCGCCTATTGCTGTCGCCGTCCCGCCGATATTCGAGAACAGTACCTCCGCCATGAGAATCTGCTTCGGGTCAAGGTTGAGGACCTCGCATAGTCTGGGACACAGAACGTACAACAGGCACGATGTTACCTCCTAGTGACAGGTGCTATGATAATAACTCATGGCGACAAGTGAGACAGTTATACCTGGTTGTGACGGAGATGACAATATCACTTGATGATGACAAGTATGACAAAGTTAACTCGTTGTAACATTGGTGATATTATCTGAATGTGACAGGAATTACATTTGTACCTGACGGTGACAGGTAATATATTTGCACCTGATGTTGACAGGTGTTATATTTGTACCTGATGGTGATAGGTATAATATTTGTACCTGATGGATACAGGTGTTATATTTGTACCTGATGTTGACAGGTGTTATATTTGTACCTGATGGAGACAGGTGTTATATTTCTACCTGATGGAGACAGGTGTTATATTTCTACCTGATGGTAACGGGTAATATATTTGTACCTGATGGTGACAGGTGCAAGAAGAAGTATAGTGGTGACGTTGTCGAGGAAAGCGGAGACGACACCGCTAAAGATGCACAACAGCGTGATGAGCGGCCATATCTTCCCCTTAGCAAGCTGGTAAGCCTGTAAGATAAACACGATAAAGGTCGATAAAGAATTATGACTGGATGTATGTAGGACTGCAGTGTGCGAAATAGTTTCCAAAATTTGCTAGCCAGTCGGGCAAGCTATCCCGGAAAGTTACTAGCCCACAATATAATTCACTAGCCCGAAATTTGAATGTAGGAACTAAGCAAAAGATTTTGAAAATAGTTGAGAATAAGATATTTGCCACATGACTCAGGTTTCATCATTAAGCTGCTGATATGATGAACATTTTTATCAGGCCATAATCTTTCATGATTTAAAAGTGTATTATAACTAAACAAGTTGGAAAGAGTGATATATTTACAAAATGACCTCGTGAAAATTCACTAGCCAATCGGGCCAGTGACTGTAGAGATTTACTGGCCCAACTGGATTTTTACTAGCCACGGGGTAGCGGACCAGTGCCTATTTCGCACACTGTGTGGGACAGAGACTGAGGTGATACCACGATTCCCAGGTAGGATTTTACGGCGCTTCCAGGGATACTGTGGCTTCAGCGTCACAGGTGCGTGTGTGCGTGCGTGCGAGCGGGCATGTGTTAGTGTGTGTTTTGAGTGTCTGCGTTTCTTTGTGTGTGAGTGTGTTATTCAGTGGTAGTGTGTGTGCGTGCGCGTGTGCGTGAATGCGCATTATCATGAATGTGTGCTGTTTAATCTTGCCCGCTGAGCCAGACACATAAATATCACTCACTTACTCACCTTCAGCGCCGAGTAGTCGAAGAATCCCGTCTCGGAGAAGATGGCGACGAGGATCATCATGCCGAACAGGAGGGCGAGAGTCTCCCGTGTCTATCCAGCTAACAATCGTTTCCATCGTAGGGCGCTGAAGAAATACACACGCCGTTATCACACCTTCAGATATAACGGATATCATTCTTTATATACTACAGGGGCGCTGAATAAATACACACGCCGTTATCACACCTTCAGACACCACGGATATCATTATTTATATACTACAGGGGCGCTGAATAAATACACACGCCGTTATCACACCTTCAGACACCACGGATATCATTATTTATATACTACAGGGGCGCTGAATAAATACACACGCCGTTATCACGGATATCTTCAGACACCACGGATATCATTATCACACCTTCAGATACTACAGGGCGCTATACTACAGGGGGCTTAAATACACACGCCGTTATCACACCTTCAGACACCACGGATATCATTCTTTCTATACTACAGGGGCGCTGAATAAATACACACGCCGTTATCACACCTTCAGACACCACGGATATCATTCTTTCTATACTGCAGGGGCGCTGAATAAAGACACCCGCCATTATCACACCTCCAGACACAACAAATATCATTGTAGGTATATTACAGGTGGGGCGCTGAATAAATACACACCCCGTCATCACACCTTCAAACACAATAAATATCATTGTACATATATCACAGGTGGGGCGCTGAATAAATACACACGCCGTTATCACACCTTCAGACACGACGGATATCATTGTACATAATTATAATACAGGTGGGGCGCTGACTAAATACACACGTCGTTATCACACCTCCAGACACAACGGACAAAGTTTACATAATAGAACCATTCCATTCTGCCCAGAAATATTAGACTCTCTCTCTCTCTCTCTCTCTCTCTCTCTCTCTCTCTCTCTCTCTCTCTCTCTCTCTCTCTCTCTCTCTCTCTCTCTCTCTCTCTCTCTCTCTCTCTCTCTCTCTCTCTCTCTCTCTCTCTCTCTCTCTCTCTCTCTCTTTATACATACATGTATATATAAAATTCACTATTTATAACTCTGGACAACTGGCTATGCGAAAACGTCGTACTTCATTGAGCGCAGCCAACACCGCCACGGCGGCCAGGGAGCCAAGCAGTGCGGCCAGGGTTCTGTGGACCAGCTGAAATACAGGGACGGACACAATTAACCTCCCTTATATAACGCCAACAGTATCGCCTGCCAGAGTCACAAACATGGTTTGAAGAAAATGTACTTAATGACGTGTTCACATGTTAGTCAATACAGTATACAGAACTTGGTCAAGTAGCATTTAAACACGACCAAACTGCCACGCAAGAGAGAGTAAGTTTGGTGGTAGTCTGATACAAATAAGAGATGGTCATTCGATGGTGAAATATCCCATACATACTTGAGGCTTGATCTTACGATTTAGGTGTTTGGGTGACAGATTTTAATCCTAGTGAAGTTTTGACAAAGCCTGTTACCTTTTGGTAAAAACAGTTCTCAGTTCGTCTGCCTTCCTTTGAAATATGGAAACCATACAGTATTATAGACACAGCTTAGTCACCTTCTGCTTGTACTCAGTAATAAGTAATACAACATTCATCTAGTTCTACTCAGCGTCATTTGGAATTCGCACTGATCGTGTCTGTAGGTTTGTAAACAACGCCCTCGTGGGATTCAGGCTATCTACCTGTGCCCAGCTGACATCACTTGCCCCCTACCACCGACCCACGGCCAGCGTACCCATCCCATCACGCTCACCTCTAGGATGATGAGGACGTAGACGAGGATGAGGACGACCAGTGCGTAGATGACGTTGTTCTCGTGGTCAGAGGCGACAGGATGGTAGGAGTAGAAGAAGGAGATGGTGGCGTCTGAGCTGCTGTTGACGTCCACGGAACATGGTCTAAGAAAACTGGAAGTGAAAACGTCGACAATACGATGACTCGTGGGCACGGGAAAAATGCTAGCATTGGTATGTTTTCACTGCCTGACATCGTTTGGTCGCACATACACGATTGTATTAAAGGGTAACGGCTGTATGAACAGGGTAACGGCTGTATGAACAGGGTAACGGTTGTATCAACAGGATAACGGCTGTATCAACAGGATAACGGCTGTATGCACAGGATAACGACTGTATGAACAGGGTAACGACTTTATGAACAGGGTAACTGCTGTATGAACAGGATAACGACTGTATGAACAGGGTAACTGCTGTATGAACAGGATAACGACTGTATGAACAGAATAACGGTTGTATGAACAGGGTAACGGCTGTATGACCAGGGTAACGACTGTATGAACAGGGTAACGGCTGTATGAACAGGATAACGGCTGTATGAACAGGGTAACGACTATATGAACAGGGTAACTGCTGTATGAACAGGGTAACGGCTGTATGAACAGGATAACGGCTGTATGAACAGGGTAACGGCTGTATGAACAGGGTAACGACTGTATGAACAGGATAACGACTGTATGAACAGGATAACGACTGTATGAACAGGATAACGGCTGTATGAACAGGATAACGACTGTATGAACAGGGTAACGACTGTATGAACAGGGTAACAACTGTATGAACAGGATAACGACTGTATGAACAGGATAACGACTGTATCAACAGGGTAACGACTGTATGAACAGGGTAACGACTGTATGAACATAACGGCTGTAACAGGACTGTGTATGAACAGGGTAACGACTGTATAACAGGCTGTATGAACAGGATAACGGCTGTATGAACAGGGTAACGACTTTATGAACAGGGTAACTGCTGTATGAACATGATAACGACTATATGAACAGGGTAACGACTGTATGCACAGGATAACGACTGTATGAACATGATAACGACTATATGAACAGGGTAACGACTGTATGCACAGGATAACGACTGTATGAACAGGATAACGACTATATGAACAGGGTAACGACTTTATGAACAGGGTAACTGCTGTATGAACATGATAACGACTTTATGAACAGGGTAACGACTGTATGCACAGGATAACGACTGTATGAACAGGATAACGACTATATGAACAGGGTAACGACTTTATGAACAGGGTAACGACTGTATGAACATGATAACGACTATATGAACAGGGTAACGACTGTATGAACAGGGTAACGACTGTATGAACAGGATAACGACTATATGAACAGGGTAACGACTGTATGCACAGGGTAACGGCTGTATGCACAGGATAATGGTTGTATGAACAGGATAACAGCTGATGGTGACGTCGCATTTTATGCTCACATGCACATTGACGGCCGTCGATTTCATTTCGCAGTTTCCTATTTTCATTAAAATATAGATGTGACTCACCTGTGGCATGTGAAGATGTGGTTCAGTGTCACGGGGACTCCGCCCTGGATCTGGGTGGCATTCACGTGCAGCGTCCACTAGGGGCGAAATTCATCAGTATCAAGCAACGTCATCTGAACCTTATCACAACCACTGTTACTATCGCAATGTCTGGTACTACTACTACTACTACTACTACTACTACTACTACTACTACTACTACTACTACTACTACTACTACTACTACTACTACTACTACTAGTAGTAGTAGTACTACTACTTCTCACTAATTCAAAGTCGACTACACAATAATCTGTATCAGAGTTAAAGAAACAATGCCGCCAAGGACTTATCACTGACAAATATACTTCTTCACAAAACAATTTATCATGCCATGATGCACTAAAGGATTCTCATACAATGTTAGAGTACCTATAAATACCATGACACCACTGGTTACCCCTGTCAGAGCAGTGTATAACACTGGACACCATGTTGTAGCTTTGAGTACTGACCGTTTGATTATCTAGTTGGAGTTGCATCGGCTCCGTCGACTCCACCCCGCCCGTCCCCTCCGCTTCCGCCTCAGCGTCCTCCTCTTCCAGGAAGGGTCCCTGAAGCGACACCCTGACGACGGGGTACGAGGCACTCGCATCCCCAAACTCAAGCTCTGAAGGAGAGGTACATTATTCCAGTTTAACGCTGCTTTGGTTACCAGTATTTAAGCTATAGAGGAACTCTCTCAGAGAAAAGGGGTTTAAACGTATATCACGCGAAATGGTCAGAAGATTTGTGTGTAGGTGAAATCAATTTCCGATGTACATTACACGTCACATGTTAACCGTTTCATTCATTCATTCATTTTTTTTTCAATACCTTTCTTTTCTTCTAAATCTTATGACGGATCCTCCAGTAAATCACGACTCACGACAATACATCCACCCGCTCAGATTCTCCATCTGCCCCTCAACACCCTGATCACCACTGCCGTATTTACAATCCCCATTGTTGTGGCCGTTGCTGTTCTCACCCTCCATGCTCCTCCCTGCCCGCTGACCGTCACGCTGTCTGTACCCCACCCCGTGTAAACTTCACAACCATTCCAATGCCATTATTCGACGGACATGATTCCCGATCAGCACCTTCCTGGCTTAGTCGATTCCAGAAATTTGTGGCAATTCAAAATTACAATGATGACGAAATTGTTAACCTTTTCCCCTTATATTTATCACAGTCAGCTTCAATTTGGTATGAAGGACTTCCTAGTAAAGATAACATGACATGGCCTGAACTTAGACAATGTTTTTCACAATGGTATGGTCCAACGTCCATCCAAGCCATTATTCGGAAGAATGCCCTGATTGACAGAAAACAAACAGAACATGAAGACTTTCGTTCATTGCTTCAATCTGTGCGGTATGAGGCATCCCTTTTGGATTGTAATGATGATCAATTTATTAAAGACCTCATTTTCAGAAACGCCCTCCCCCACATCGTCCAATTTATTGTCACCAGGCGCCATGACACTTTGTCGGACATGATTGAAAGTGTTCAGGTAGCAGAGGACATTTACAAACTAGCAGGTATTGACGGACTCATGTCTGTCGCTTCACCCACGAACGTTCAGCCGAACAGACTGCAGGAGGAGCGACATAACCCAGCAAATTATTTTCAACCTTCCCCGAACAATGCTTTCCCACACACGGCCGACACACACACACACACACACACACACACACACACACACACACACACACACACACACACACACACACACACACACACACACACACACACACACACACCCCACTCTTTCCCATCCCAGCACCTCCCACCCCGCCTCCAATCTACCAGTCCCACACACACCCATACAAGTGTGTCCACTGTGGGTTATACCATCTGAGTCCCCAGGAGTGTCGCCTCAATCCCCTCTACCCCGTCAATTGTTTTCCTGCACCACTAAATGCTTTCTTTGTCAATATGTTCAATTTCATGTCCATTTTCTGTATTCTATCGGTAGTAGCATACACATATTTGAGTATGTACCGTTCTATTAGTACTCTGTACCACTGCCCGTTTCTTATCAATATGTACTAGCTTTCATGTACATTGATTTGATCGTCATGTCGCTGATGTGTGTTCCCGAGAACAGCTTATAATGTCTTTTTGTGATCAGCATGTTGATGCTATGCCCTTGAATTTTAATATAATGTTATTGATATGTCAAATTATGGATATTATGTATCAAATGATGTGTGTATAGGATTTGAGTTGCGTGACGCAAGGAGATGAGATACAAGAAGGGAGTTGTAATTGTGAGAGAGGCATAGAGAGAGCGATAGAGTGATAGAGAGTGAAATAGAGACAGTGAGAGAAAGGGTAGAAAAGATACAGGAGAGAGAGAGAGAGAGAGAGAGAGAGAGAGAGAGAGAGAGAGAGAGAATGAGAGAGAATGAGAGAGAGAGAGCATTTTGTAACAGAGATTGAAAGAGAGAGAAGGAGAGTGACTGTTGTCCTGCCTGATTGATAGGATGATAGAAAATGACGATCCATTTCATGTCCATATTCATGCTACTTTGTACTTTTTGTTTCTGATACACTTGTCATCGTACAGGTTATTCAGTGGACGGTATTCATCTATAGTTGTTTCTTGTATCTGCCTTACTTTGATTTAGTGTGTTATTCGTCTGTCAATATGTTGATTTAGATAAATGGGTTCCACGACATGTATCTTAATTTACCAAAGGAAATTGTCTTTAAAAACATATTTACTGTCATTTAATGTCGATATTGCTATCAGCAAATCTCATTTAAATTAGTCATTTCAACTTTATGAATGCATATCATCAGTGTTTGACACCATGTGTCATATGGTACAAAGCATATCCAAATAGGCTACTGAAGACTGTGTAATTCATGTCATCACTAAATAATGAAAGATATTGGTCACATCAGCTTCCGAATTGTATTGCCTGTATAATTATTTGTCAAGGTAAAACCAAGCCCCAACTGATTATAGCATTTTATGTTTATCCCTATAATTTAGATATGTTGAAATGTTATCGCTACCTCATTCACAATGTGCATAAGGACGTGGGTCACGTCCTTCTTTACAGAAAGGGCGTATATCGCAAGCACGTTTGAACAGTGTTTATCAGGGATATTTATGATATTCCTTGAGTTATGCAAATTGAATATCTCTCTAAGTAATGACCATGCTGTCAATAGAAATGAAATCAACACAGCTTGATCATTGTCATCATGGCCACCATCATAGAGTCATTAGCTGCCTATAATCAAAGTTAGACAAAGGCTGGTTGGCCACTGAAGCATGACATTGTGGATGAGGTGCGAGATACTGCAGGCTGACCACACATCTGTCACAAATACGACACGTGACAGTCTGATCAGGTTTCGACCCTCAGGGATAAATTGAAAATGCTTTGTGTTAATCGAGACTTGACCCTGAGACAGCGACTAGGCGGGTTGGCTGACCATCGCCTCCGACATGCCGCCTAGTCATTGTTGTAACATCATGTAGTTATACAAATTGACACGAATAAAAGTGTTGTGGACCCACTGATGGACTTCTGAAAGACACAGATATCCCCTTAACAACCCGGGATGCATGCTGTATAGATAGACGCAGTATAAGGATTACCTTGACGTTGCAGGCCATGCAGTATAAGGATTGCTTTGGGTTGTATATGCTGGCATAACAAGAAACCATATAAGGTTTACCTTTGCGTTGTAGGGCATTTTGTAGAACTAGACGCCATGTAAAGTTTACCTTTGTGTTGGAGGACATGTTGTACAGATAGACGCCATGTAAGGTTTATCTTTGTGTTGGAGGACATGTTGTACAGATAGACGCCATGTAAGGTTTATCTTTGTGTTGGAGGACATGTTGTAGAACTAGACGCCATGCAAGGTTTATCTTTGTGTTGGAGGACATGTTGTAGAACTAGACGCCATGCAAGGTTTATCTTTGTGTTGGAGGACATGTTGTAGAACTAGACGCCATGTAAGGTTTATCTTTGTGTTGGAGGACATGTTGTAGAACTAGACGCCATGCAAGGTTTATCTTTGTGTTGGAGGACATGTTGAACAGATAGACGCCACATCAGGTTTATCTTTGTGTTGGAGGACATGTTGAACAGATAGACGCCATGTAAGGTTTACCTTTGTGTTGGAGGACATGTTGTACAGATAGACGCCATGTAAGGTTTATCTTTGTGTTGGAGGACATGTCGTACAGATAGACGCCATGTAAGGTTTATCTTTGTGTTGGAGGACATGTCGTACATAAAGACGCCATGTAAGGTTTATCTTTGTGTTTGAGGACATGTTGTACAGATAGACGCCATGTAAGGTTTACCTTTGTGTTGGAGGACATGTTGTAAAACTAGACGCCATGTAAGGTTTATCTTTGTGTTGGAGGACATGTCGTACATAAAGACGCCATATAAGGTTTACCTTTGTGTTGGAGGACATGTTGTACAGATAGACGCTATGTAAGGTTTATCTTTGTGTTGGAGGACATGTTGTACAGAAAGACGCCATGTAAGGTTTATCTTTGTGTTGGAGGACATGTCGTACAGAAAGACGCCATATAAGGTTTACCTTTTTGTTGGAGGACATGTTGAAGAGGTAGACGCCATATAAGGTTTACCTTTGTGTTGGAGGACATGTTGTAAAACTAGACGCCATGTAAGGTTTATCTTTGTGTTGGAGGACATGTTGTACATAAAGACGCCATATAAGGTTTACCTTTTTGTTGGAGGACATGTTGAAGAGGTAGACGCCATGTAAGGTTTACCTTTGTGTTGGAGGACATGTTGTACAGAAAGACGCCATGTAAGGCTTACCTTTGTGTTGTACGACATGTTGTACAGATAGACGCCATGTAAGGTTTATCTTTGTGTTGGAGGACATGTTGAACAGATAGACGCCATGAAAGGTTTACCTTTGTGTTGGAGGACATGTTGTACAGATAGACGCCATGTAAGGCTTATCTTTGTGTTGGAGGACATGTTGTACAGATAGACGCCATGTAAGGTTTACCTTTTTGTTGGAGGACATGTCGTACAGAAAGACGCCATGTAAGGATTACCTTTGCGTCGTAGGGCATGCTGTACAACTAGACGCCATATATATCATAAGATTTACCTTTTCTTTGTAGCGGCTCCACGCTAAACTGACGCCACTCCTTCTCTGTTTCGTGGTTCACGGCGATGTAGAACTGCAACAGATCAGGAACATTTCAGTGCAGTTCTGGCGACGTGGTGTCGGGGATCGGAGTCTAAGGCGCCCCGAGGCGCGCCAGGTACGTATTAATGTAAGTTCGAATCCTGATTCGTCCTGATTAGTTTCTCAACAAATCACTGTGGTCGCGGTAAAAGTGCTACCGTCACTACCGGTTTCCTCACGCACCCAATTGATTTACCAAAAGTCGCTATTCCACCTCTCCCTAATCTTGTCCTGGTTTGTCAGGACCATCCCGCTTCCCACGTGGGTTCACATCCAGCAAACACCTCCTCTTCCCGGCCACGTGAGTTCACTTCCCGCAAACACCTCTTCACGCACTATATCGATCTGACACCCTATCATACAACTGTAATACTGACCGATGCGGCCAAACTCGCTTACTTCCTTACAGCTACTTGGGATCACTATAGCACAGTTTGAGATTGCTCAGGTATACGGCACCTGGGATTATCAGGAATACATGCGAAGACTGAGACCACCCGGTGTCGGGTATACGGCACCTGGGGTTTCTCGGAGTTAAAGGCGAAGGCTGTGAGCACCTGGTGTCAAGTATACGCCACTTGGGATTATCCGCACATGCCAAGACTGTGGCCTCCAGGTGTCGGGTATACGGCACCTGGGATTATCCGAAGCACAGGCGAAGACTGTGAACACCTGGTATTGGGGTATATACAGTGGAAACTGTGAACACCTGGTGGTATACTCACACTGCACACCACAGTGAGGACAAGGATGACGGCGACCTTGATGTGATGGAAGACGGCCTTCTTCGTTAACGGCTTTGAAGGCGTGAAGACGTCGTCGTCTAGCTCTTCCTCCAGCAGCTGTTTCTCCGACTCCCTCACAGTCCTGGAAAATACACGATTCCGTCATTTCATGTGTCATTAATGATGAGCCAAGGTACTGTTGATGTCAAGCAGTTCAGCCAAATGACGGGATACTTTTCTTAACTGTTTTACTTCATCTTTACTTCAGCTGCTCTTTACTTCATAACCGGGCATTTAGATCGCTTCAGCTCCCTGATTATTATCCAAACTATTCTAAAGAATATTTTTCAAATGTGCTGATAAATGTATGAAAACCCCATTATAACTCATGAAGCCGTGAAAATGCTTGGTTATCTTCAGCAGCATCTCTGCTCCATGGGATGCAGACCAGCGCCAAGCCTCTACCTCAATGTTCAGCCAATGTGTGCTGTGTGTACGTCAGGTCCCACCCACACAAGTAACACATACCCGTTTCCCAGCCTTATCGTCACTGTGTCGGGCAGAAGTGGCGACGTCTCTGACAACGAAGTCTCTACTGAGGATTGCGGCGTCAGGTTCCCCTTCTGCACCAACACCTCCGACGACGACGCCCTTCCATTCGACGACTTGCTTCGGAACGTTACGTGAGGGTTGATTCTGATGCCGTCGATGCTGGCGGAGCGCTTGGCGCGAGGCATGACGTGACAGTTGATGCTGGTGCTAGATCATCGAATCCTGGATGGGATGACAAGTAACTATAGCAACGTGGTGAGTATACCCCTCCCCACCCCAACACCCGTGCAATACGACGTCAGTATAGTACCATTCATGCAAAGCGATATCCATATCGTACCATCCGTGCAATACCAAATTCATCCATTATCATCCGTGAAATACAATATTTGTACAATACCATATGTGCAATACTAAAATGCCTTCTTGTGCAGTACTGAATCCATATAGTACTATCCAAGCAAACATAAATCTGTGTAGTACTATCCGTGCAATTGTGCACTCATCCAATACATCAGTGCAATACTATATCAGTACAATGCCATCCGTGCAATACTATATCAGTACAATCCCATCCGTGCAATACTATATCAGTACAATGCCAAAAATGCAATTCTATGTAAGTACAATACCATCCGTGCAATACTATGTCAGTACAACACCATCCGTGCAATACTATATCAGTACAATGCCAAGCATGCAATAGTATGTCAGTACAATACTATCCGTGCAATACTATATCAGTACAATGCCATTCGTGCAATACTATATCAGTACAATCGAATCCGTGCAATACTATGTCAGTACAATACCATCTGCGCAATGCTATATCAGTACAATACCATCCGTGCAATGTTATATCAGTACAATACCATCCGTGCAATGTTATATCAGTACAATACCATCCGTGCAATGTTATATCAGTACAATACCATCCGTGCAATGTTATATCAGTACAATACCATCCGTGCAATGTTATATCAGTACAATACCATCCGTGCAATGTTATATCAGTACAATACCATCCGTGCAATGTTATATCAGTACAATACAAATGTTATATCAGTACAATACCACCATCCGTGCAATGTTATATCATGTACAATACCATCCGTGCAATGTTATATCAGTACAATACCATCCGTGCAATGTTATATCAGTACACCATCCGTGCAATGCATATCATACCATGTAATGTTATATCAGTACAATACCATCCGTGCAATGTTATATCAGTACAATACCATCCGTGCAATGCTATATCAGTACAATACCATCTGTGCAATGTTATATCAGTACAATACCATCCGTGCAATGCTATATCAGTACAATACCATCCGTACAATACCATCCATGCAATATTATGTAAGTACAATACCATCCATGCAATACCTTCCGTGCAATGCTATATCAGTACAATACCATCCGTGCAATACTATATCAGTACAATACCATCCATGCGATAACTATGTCAGTACAATACCATCCATGCAATACTATGTCAGTACAATATCATCCGTGCAATACTATGTCAGTACAATACCATCCATGCGATACTATGTCAGTACAATACCATCCATGCAATACTATAACAGTACAATACCATCCATGCAATATTATGTAAGTATAATACCATCCATGCGATACTATGTCAGTACAATACCATTCGTGCGATACTATGTCAGTACAATAACATCCGCGCAATATTATATTAATACAATATCATACGTGCAGTACTATATCAGTACAATGCCATCCGTGCAGTACTGTATCAGCACAATACCATCCGTGCAATATTATATTAATACAATATCATACGTGCAGTACTCTATCAGTACTATATCGTCCGCGCAATAACATATCAGTACTATACAATCCGTGTAGTACTATATCAGTACTATATCAGACGAATAATCTATTCGTCACACACGATCTAAATAATACTATTCGTCCAAATTTTCAAATATATACATACCTGTTGTCGCAAGAAGATGAGTTATGGAAAGCCTTTGAAGGTAAGTGTTTGATTTCACAAATTCGTGTAATAACTTTTTCAAATATTCGAGAGTAAATACACCTGTCAATAGTTGTTTTTATATAAACACAGACATAGAGGACCACCTGACCACTGTCGGAGTGAAACTGGGCTACAGGACCGGCGCTGACCTAGTGGTCCAAGTGGATCTGAGTCAGATGTTACGGTACCAAGTACTCTATACCTAATGCTGGTATGGTGGTGGTTGCTGTACCTCGTCGGGACCCTGTTGTCACCAGTCAGATGTTACGGTACCAAGTACGCTATACCTAATGCTGGTATGGTGGTGGTTGCGGTAACTCGTCGGGACCCTGTTGTGTCACTGCATCTAGGGACATGCAATCTGTCTCACGTCTATTTGCATGACGGTTTGGAAACCCTACCAAACTACCAACTCTCACCTGATATTTGTTCCGCAGAGAGGGCTCTCTGTTACAACTTGTTTACCCTGAATTTTCTCAGAGAATAGATTTGAAAAGCCATAAATATAATATCACCCCTTTGACTATAGATTATTAATATATCAGCTGTACTGACACTTATTTGAGTCTAAAGATCGCAATTGTCCCACCCGTATGTCATCAGTGACGAACTATAGGTCTGAGCAGAACCATCAGATACACGAACAACGCAGTTTCAGGCGATAAGGGACACAACGAGGAGCAGGGTTGGGGTGTGGATCTCAAGGAGTTGGGGTGGGGGTTAGGGGACATCAAGAGGAACAATACTCGCTGCTGACAACGGGATGAGGCATGTCATAACAGACGCAGGCCGTCGACACGAGATAGGGGGAGAGATATTGGGTGTATGGGAATTGTCTGCTATCAGCTCCAGGGGTAGTGAGGTACTTTGAGCAAACCTTCTTATCCACCACTTGTGTATAGATTAAACAATTGGGCTATCGGTATAAACAAAAATGAAAAATTTTAGGATGATATTTAACATAAGACACGTGTTATATTATATTCTTTCGGATTGTCAACGTTGATTAAATCGATGGTGAATTGGGAACTGCATTCCATAGTCGATAAACTTTTCTCGGGGAAACATTAATACCAGTTACGTAGGCAACAGTAACACAGGTAACGCTGGCAACAGTAATATAAGTAACGTTGGCAATGTAGGTAACGCTGGCAACAGTAATACAAGTAACGTAGGCAACAGTAACACAGGTAACGCTGGCAACAGTAACACAGGTAACGTTGGCAACAGTAACACAGGTAACGCTAGCAACAGTAACACAAGTAACGTAGGCAACAGTAACACAGGTAACGCTGGCAACAGTAACACAGGTAACGTACAACAGTAACGTAACACTGGCAACAGTAACACAGGTAACGTAACAGGTAACGTGGCAACAGTAACACAGGTAACGTAACGTAATGGGCAACAGTAACGTAGGCAACAGTAACACAGGCGTAGGCAAGTAACACAGTAACGCTGGCAAGCAGTAACAAACAGTAATACAAGTAACGTAACAGTAACACAGGTAACGCAACAGTAACACAGGTAACGCACAGGTGGGCAACAGTAACACAAGGTAACAGTAACACAGGCAACGCAGGCAACGCACACAGTAACGCAGCAACAGTAACACAGGTAACGCTGGCAACAGTAACACAGGTAACGCTGGCAACAGTAACACAGGTAACGCTGGCAACAGTAACAACAGTAACAAGTAACAATGGCAGTAATAAAGTACGTAGTAACACAGGTAACGTAGGCAACAGTAACACAAGTAACGTAGGCAACAGTAACACAACGTAAACAGTAACGCTAACGGCAACAGTAACACAGGTAACGCTGGCAACAGTAACACAAGTAACGTAGGCAACAGTAACACAGGTAACGCTGGCAACAGTAACACAGGTAACGTAGGCAACAGTAACACAGGTAACGTAGGCAACAGTAACACAGGTAACGTAGGCAACAGTAACACAACAGTAACGCAGGTAACGGGCAACAGTAACACAAGTAACGCAGGCAACAGTAACACAGGTAACGTAGGCAACAGTAACAACAGTAGGCAACAGGTAACAACAGTAACAGGTAACGCTGGCAACAGTAACACAAGTAACGTAGGCAACAGTAACACAGGTAACGCTGGCAACAGTAACACAAGTAACGTAGGCAACAGTAACACAGGTAACGCTGGCAACAGTAACGTAACGTAGGCAACAGTAACACAGGTAACGCTGGCAACAGTAACACAGGTAACGCTGGCAACAGTAACACAGGGTAACGTGGCAACAGTAACAACAACAGTAACACAGGTAACGTAGGCAACAGTAACACAGGTAACGCTGGCAACAGTAACACAGGTAACGCTGGCAACAGTAACACAGGTAACGCTGGCAACAGTAACACAGGTAACGCTGGCAACAGTAACACAGGTAACGCTGGCAACAGTAACACAGGTAACGCTGGCAACAGTAACACAGGTAACGCTGGCAACAGTAACACAGGTAACGCTGGCAACAGTAACACAGTAACGTAGGCAACAGTAACACAGGTAACGTAGGCAACAGTAACACAGGTAACGTAGGCAACAGTAACACAAGTAACGTAGGCAACAGTAACACAGGTAACGTAGGCAACAGTAACACAGGTAACGCTGGCAACAGTAACACAGATAACGTAGGCAACAGTAACACAGGTAACGGCAACAGTAACACAGGTAACGCTGGCAACAGTAACACAGGTAACGTAGGCAACAGTAACACAGGTAACGCTGGCAACAGTAACACAGGTAACGCTGGCAACAGTAACACAGGTAACGTAGGCAACAGTAACACAGGTAACGCTGGCAACAGTAACACAGGTAACGTAGGCAACAGTAACACAGGTAACGCAGGGTAACGCTGGCAACAGTAACAGGTAACGCTGGCAACAGTAACACAGGTAACGCTGGCAACAGTAACACAGGTAACGCTGGCAACAGTAACACAGGTAACGCTGGCAACAGTAACACAGATAACGTAGGCAACAGTAACACAGGTAACGCAACAGTAACACAGGTAACGCTGGCAACAGTAACACAGGTAACGCTGGCAACAGTAACACAGGTAACGCTGGCAGCAGTAACACAGGTAACGCTGGCAACAGTAACACAGGTAACGCTGGCAACAGTAACACAGGTAACGCTGGCAACAGTAACACAGGTAACGCTGGCAACAGTAACACAGGT